TAGCCTGTTTGTTGTAGCTTTGTGGCTATAGTCGTACACTTGTTAGGCCCAATCCCAACACTTGCACTGCGCCTTACCCCCAAATTCCACTGTGAAGTGACCTCGGAGGAAGTGCGCAGTAAGGCTTTGAGTGCGTAGTACACACATGTGCAAATAATTGCTGAATTTAGACAGGGAGCATTGCGTCATCAACATCAACATATGCTGAGATGCTGATCGCTGTGCTAATTAAAAATAAATCTTTATTAACAACTTTAAAAAAACAGCAAAACAACTATTTGAAATACATTTACATTCATTGCTGCTTCGTCTTAGATGTACTACTTTCATTTGAAAATACAGATTTTCAGAAAAGGCACTTGAGCATTTTCTACCACAGCAATAGATTGTGGGTAATACACTTCACCCAGGTCTGCATCGATGCAGACTTGGGTGAAGTGCGGATAAAGGGTGCCAAAGGGGTGTGGCTAATGTCTGCACTCCAGGACACCCCACGCACTCACACCCTTGGCTGGGATCGCGCAATTGGGTGGAAGTGTGAGTATTGGGATTGGGCCTAAGTCTCTCTCTCTCTCTCTCTCTCTCTCTCTCTCTCTCTCTCTCTCTCTCTCTCTCTCTCTCTCTCTCTCTCTCTCTCTCTCTCTCTCTCTCTCTCTCTCTCTCTCTCCATTAAGACAAGATGTCACTTCACTTGATGAAACCCTTTCAGAAAAATGTCAATCCATTCATTTTCTTCTGCTTATCCGGACTTGGGTCGCGGAGGCAGCAGCCTAATGGGCCATTCCCATCTGTACCGGGTCGGCCCGGGCCGGGTAGCCCCAGTCGGCCCCAGCCTGGCCCGGTTGATTCCACACATCCTTGTCTTAAGCCCATGTGGGCTGTTTCTACCCACCAATCAGAGGCTTGCTCTAATGGAAGGTGTGAATTTGCTGTCAGCAGTGGGTGTGTTGGCCCTGGTCGGCCTGAAGCAGACCCCCTCGAGAAGAGGGCTGAGAATGAGCCTTGGTTGGCCCGGAAAAATACCAGGCCACCCAGATATGTAAACAACCTACGCTACCCGGCCCGGGCCGACCCGGTACAGATGGGAATGGCCCATAAGTCAAGAGGCCCAGACTTCTCTCTCCCCAGCCACTTGGACCAGCTCTTCCGTGGGAATCCCAAGGCTTTCTCTGGCAAGGTGAGATACATAGTCCCTCCAATGTGTCCTGGGTCTCCCTTTAGTACTCCTCCTGGTTGGACGTACCCAGAAAATCTCACAAGGGAGGCGTCCAGGAGGCCTCCTGACCAGATGTTTGAGCCACCTCCTCAATGTGTAGGAGCAGCGGATCTTCTCTGAGCCCCTCCTGGATGACCGAGCTTCTCACCCTGTCTCTAAGGGAGAGCCCAACGGCTCTGCGGAGAAAACTCATTCCGGCCGCTTGTATCTGCAATCTCGTTCTTTTTGTCTCTACCTAAAGCTCGTGACCATAGGTGAGGGTAGGAACGTATATCAACCGGTTAATCGAGAACATCACTTTCTAGCTCAGCTCTCACTTCACTATGACAGATGGTACAACGCCTATATCACTGCAGATGCAGCACCAATCCACCTATCAATTCCACGCTCCATCAATCCCTCACTCATGATCAAGACCCAAAGATACTTAAATGCCTCCCAAGGCTCTTTGTCTGTCTGTCTCTGGGTGTACGGAGCTTCCCCATTTTTTCTGGAAACTGGAAATTATTAAAAATGGATCTGGTCAGTTGGTCTCTCAACGCGATTGACAAAATTATTTCAACGATGAGAACGGGAGAAGGGGCTCCCAGATGTCCCTCTGGGACAGAGCCAGCTGGGCATATCATGGACTCCTGGAAACAGTGGAACCTGATCTGCCTCTCTCAACTGTCTGTAGAGGATTCTGAAAACGTCTGGATATTCGTGGCGTTGGTGTCAGGATTTGTGCTGTTTGGCCTGAGTGGTTACCTGGCTTACCGGAAAATTAATGAGAGGTCGAGGAATATTGGCTCAATCCCGGAGCTCAGGGATGGATTACACCGCGCTGTGAACACACGAACTCATATAATTGTCGAGATGA